TTGTGTTGGAGTGCTTGATATGCATTATTGGCCCTCTTTTCTAACAACTTATGTTTTTGGTGAATTAACATGGTATCAGAGCAAACAATAGATTCCATATTCTAACCTCACCACCTTCCCAATAATTATAATACTTGAATGTTATAGATGAGAGTCTAGTCACACGTGAGGGTGCGTGTTGAGAATATAAATAATAATGTTAACCCTCTTTCTAACAGCTTAAGCTTTTAGATGAGTTAATGATCAACAATTTAAAAATTCAATCAACTTTGATATTCAATATAAAGAAGTAAAATTGAGAAATAATGCTGAATTTTACTTAAAGATAAAGACAATTAAGGCTTCTTAAAGAGGGAAGGAAGCACAAAATAAGATATAGTAGGTGGTAGTGGTAGGTGTGTAGTAGGTGGATTTTAACAAAGACAATTAAGGCTTCTTAAAGAGGGAAGGAAGCACAAAATAAGATATCTATTGCATTATGTGTTGTATGTGATATGAGGGATGGGGAGAAAGACTGATGCCATAGGACTGGTTTAGATGATGATACATGAACTTATGGAGGAAGAGCACAAAAGTGTCAAAGTTAGATGGTGGAATCAATGTTACATAAACTTGGAAACTTGGTGTCAGAGTTGTTTAATCTCCAAAATATTCGAATGGAGTAACATTGTGAATTCAGTACTAGATATGTATTCTTTTGTTCATTAGTTGGATGGTCTGGGTGGTTTTGTTGGGTAAGTTGGTTTTGTTGAAGAAGCATCTGTAAGATGTGTCAATGTATATATATATTACACACATACCCATGTCTTGCTTGATTTAGTGTGTAATATGACACATGCATTGAAGAGTCCATACAACATAGATTGCAATGAGTAAGTCAATTTTTAACAATTAGAGTCATTTAAGAATAAGTACCAAAAAAACAGAATGATTTAAAAACACAAAAACTCTGTAAGGCACAATTATCATCAAAGTCAGGGTTTAAAGATAGATTTGTAGATTGGTCACGGGAAAAATCATGCATAGACATGGATCAACGTAGGACTTTAGCAATAGTGTTGAATACATCAAACATACATTTACTCTTGTCCATTAACCTTTTGGTTTGTTACAATGAAGTACGGCGAGTAACCTATAGAAAAATTGCTCAAAGAGAGGTTGAATAGTTTTACAATTTCCAAACAAAGAAGTTCTCCTTTATTCTTCTTGGTTGTATTTTTGTGTTTCAACATTTGACAATTCAATTGAAGCTTTCATGCCTTATTGAAGGCACAAAAGTAATTTTCAAAGTAGCACAATTGATCCATGATAGGTTTTAGAAACTAAGGGTTATTGTTTTTCCAAAAGAAGTACCAAACTTTTTGTAACACCAATTAGAAATGCCAATGTGGTGTAAACCCAAAGATACTAGAAAAGAGGAAGAATATTTGAGTTAGATGTTTTCCACCATAAAATTTGTGAGATAATTAAAATCATTAGCAGACTAAATATTTTGAACCGTTAAAAATTTGAAATTGGTGATGACATTCATAAAGATTTCATCTTTACAACTAAGAGAACTGTGTTTTCTGACATTATTTTGAGAAGAGAACTTTCTGAAAATAACTTCTCTCTACATTTTGATTATACAAATAAACAAATAAGGGAAAACCATGTATGGGAAGTTTTATGCAGGTAAATCCCTTAATCTTAGTTACCCACAAAGCAACATCTACAACAGTTGGCCAGGTACATAAAAACCATCTCCATTTAAGTTCCACCAAAAGAAGAGAAATTTCATTGGAAAACACACATACTTTGCATAATTTAAAAATGAATCAGAAGAAGCCATGTCTGTAAAAACATGAATCACAAGATTTAAAAGGCCACTCACTTCCAGTCCCACAATGGAAGCACAGGCCTGTTCTCCCCATGCAAACTGATCTCCTTGGACTTGATTCTTAAAAGGGATCAACTCCTATCATCAACACCCCAAAGACCAATTTAGTATTTTAGGGTAGAATAAAAAAAAGAACTTCCAGATAGTTCTAAAGAAGAAACCAAAACAATGCCAATAAACATATAAAAGACATTAAGAGATAAAAAAAGAAGCATTTTTTTAAGAAATAAAATCACATATTTTGAATAATTTAATTTAATTTCAAAATTTTGTTCTTCATTATTTGTGTTCATGCCTTACCTATGCAACTTTCTTGCTTTTGATTCCTTCCTAGTCAAAAGATTCTTCGTAAAAGAAGAACCTGGGGAGATGTTTCAAATATAAGGAAAGAAGTACTTCTCAAAAGAAATCTATGTCGAGGTATCCACTTCCCATTTTGATATATAGAAAAAAAAAACCCAAACGTTGACAGGGCAGACAATGTTGCGGTAGCAGTCATTAATGATATTGGGAAGCTAATTTAAGGCTGAAAACATGGTCATTTATGACATTTTGAAATAAAAGAACAACTAAGGGAGGCCATTATTTATAATTATGGTCTTTCTCTATAATTTCCATGGTTTGTAGTCTTTCCTCATAAATGGGCTTAGTACTTTAAGGATTTACCTTAATTTAAAATATTACCACTTTAAAATCCAGCACATTTAGGAGGAAAATTTTTATTTCTTATCTTGTATTGATTCGCCATCCTAATTGTGTTTTCATTGGAACTAGTGGTGCGATGTATTTGTTGGGGTCGGCAAGAATCGAGAAGGAAAACACAATCACGTATGAGATTTTGAAATAAAAGAACAACTGGATGAGAGTAATAATTTTGTTTTTGTTCTTTATTTATTTCTCGCTCTTTAAGCTTTGTTGTCATTGGTTAAAAAAAATTGTTGCCAACCACCAATCCCACTGTCTAGTCTCACATTTGCAATAAGTGGGCTTCAACAAATTAAAGATTTTACCTTAACTTTAAAACTTTATAGTTTTTTGACTTGAGAGTTATTTAACATATTTTGGGTGGAATATTTCCTTTCTTACCTTATAAAGTCTTATCATTTTTATTGTGGTATGCTACCACTTTAGGTAGAAATCATAACAACTACTGGTGTGACATAAGACAAAATGGAAAAATTGAATGCCTAATAATGCAATTTATTTAATGCAATCAAGGTAAAGCTAGGACGCATTTTGAAATCTTCCTTCCTTTACAACATTTTGTACTCCCTCCATTAATAGTTCCTTTTGGAGAATCTAGCTTTTTTTGGTATTACAATTATTGCACTTTAAAAATATTAATTTTTCAAAATTATCCTTTGATAGTACATTTTTTTGGGAATGTCAATTGTCATAATTGTACTTTTTGTATTGTTAATGAATTTAAAAGAAGGGCAAAATAGGAAATTCGTATTATTTTAGTCCTTGATTTTGAAAAGGCACTAATATTTTAGGACAATGAAAAATGGAATAAGGGACTAATATTTTGGGACAAAGGGAGTAATAGTTATCTATGTAACATTAGTTAGTTGACACGTATCACAAAATTTTATGTTTTGAATTAGATTAATTTGTTGAATTTGGTTTGTCATGCTTACGACCTAGAAATAAGAAGGAAAATGATTACCGTTGTGTATTTGCATTAGCTGTAGAGAAGTACTTTATTAATTAGATTAATTACACTTTTCACCCTTATAGTTTGCTTCAAATTTCACTTTGGTCCTTATAGGTTCAAATTGAACAGTTTGGTCCCCCTACACTTTAAATCTAGTTTTAGTTTGGTCCTTCTATTCAAGTTAGAGGTTAAAGTTAACGATTTTGGGACACTTGTCAGTCTAAGTTGTACACGTAGGAAAAATTAACAGAAATTTGGACGGAAGGACCAATTGAAATTGGATTTAAGGTGTAGGGAGCAAACTGTTCAATTTGAAACTATAGGGATCAAATTGAATTAATTAATTTTTGCTTGCATTATCATGGAATGTTTCTTACTTCTCTAATTACACTAATGTAGTCTGTGTTGGATAATTTGATATAGTCAAACCTATTTTCTAACAGCTTAAGCTTTTGGGACTAATAATGATTTAATATGGTATTAGAGCTCATGTTGGAAGAGGCCTTTGGTTCAAGTCTCTTCTTTTGCATTTTGCTTCTCTCTATGTACGTATTGTTGCGTCTTCACTTGAATGATGGAGTTACGTCTCCACTTGAATATGGGGTTGCATATGAGGGAGGGTGTTGGCTAGCTTGATATATATTTTTGGACCCAATTTCCAATAACATAAACTTTGATATTGAACTTATAAATGACTTTGTAATCTCTCACATCAAGGTGATTTTTACACAAGGGATGGATATGTTACACGGCCTTTGGTTGAACTTAACCCCGAAAGCTAGCTAGGTGAGGGTGCCCTTATGCCTATATGCTTAACATTGCTTTAGTACTCAGGCAATGTGGGACTTTGCTTCACACCCTCCCTCACGCCTAGCATGCTCATTCGGTAGCACTTGTGGCGTGCAGGCTAGGGACACAAACCCTACCCATCCCAGAGTGCTTCGGCTCTAATACCATGTTACATGGTCTTGGGTAGAACTCAATCCCCAAAACTAGCTATTAAGGTGAGGGTGTCCTCACCCTTATATGCTTAACATTACTTTAGTATTCGGGAATGTGGGACTTTGCTTCACAGGATACCCTCCCTTCCCCAAAGGAATCATTTCAACTCCAAGTTAAAACAGTATATTATCATGTTTTACAATTCAATAATTATTAGGATAGACTAATATATATTTTTTCTTTTACTTTAAAAGTTACTAGGATAGACTAAAAATGAAGTCATGCCACATGACACTGTTAGACGGTTTGATATACATTGTTAGATCCATTTCCTAACAGGTTAAGGTTTTAGGACAATTGATTGTTTAACATGGAATCAGAGCTTAGGTTGGAGGAGATCTTGGGTTCAAGTCTCTCTATTTGCATTTGATACCCATTTGGATTCTTTGTCTCTCATTGACATTCTTTCTGTCAATGTATGAATGTTTGCATCTCCACATGCAAAACGGGATTGCACATGAGTGAGAGTGTTAGATAGTTTGATATACATTGTTAGGCTCATTTCCTAACAACTTAAGTTTTTGAGACAATTGGTGACTTAACATGTGCTAATTATAACATATAGGAGTTTAACATGCTTGGTACTCCCATGGCCAAGATCAGGCTGGGAAATCTAGTACACGCAAGATTAGGCTGGGAGATCTAGTGCATGTTCAAATCCTTTCCAAACTCAGCTGGTGCATACATACTGGCCTAAGCTTGGCCCATGTTTCTGTGATGCTTTTATATAAACATGATGCTTCCCTCTATTGCTCTTCTTATCCCTACTATATACTCTTTTATTATTATTATCATTATTCCTAAGAGTAGAAGGTCCAGAGTAATACAATTGCTAGTATTTATTTGCCTTACTCACTATAACCTACGCAATTTCCTTACTCTAACGTGGTGCATACCTTTGTGTTAATTATTTAAGCTGTCTAATATCACGGGCAAAGAGATGAGTATCAGCATTTGAATCACAGTGCTAGATATGAACACAAAGAAACATAATTAATTGGGTTTAATGGAATTGAGGCAGTGAAGACATGGGAGAAAACTAATCATATTCGATTTAGAATGTGTAGATAATATTATTTTTCAAGACAACATAGTCAAATAAATGAGCTTTTCCCCTGAAGCAATAGGCCAATTTCTCATGATAAATAGAATAAGGCTATAAAAGATAAATGAATACCATTGAAACATGACAATTGTGCACTTGGCTCAATTGTAAAACATCCTCAAAGTTCATATGGAAAGCACAAACTCTGAAAGATTTTATCCTACACCATAGCCAAGAGTCTGACCATGTTATTTTACCTGTCGTATATATCATAATACAAACACAGACACACAGACACACACACACACACATATATATGAAGACAACTATTCTGATAATGTAAAAATGAGGATCTTATGGTTGCATCATAAAAGAGTGTGACTCTTTATCCTCTTCTTTGGAAGCAGCAGTTGATTTAAGCAGTACACATCCAAGACCAATTTCAGCAGAAGAGTTTTGGCTGTTCTGAAAAATGAGCACGTCTTCTTGTTCTGAAGCTAGATTGAAGAATTCTGGTTCTTGGAGAGTATGGTAAAGTTGCTTATGAAGCCTTTCAACAGGTGATAGAACACGTTGATTAAGCACTGACCTCTTTCTTCTTGGGATGTGAGAGTTCCAAAAACTTGGTTGGACTAACCCTGCAAAGTATGCGTATTGGATCAGCACAATTGGTTGGATAGAGGAATCTAGTGATATAAGTGATTTGTATGGTATGCATGTCATGTTAGATAGCCAAAAATAGAAGCAATTATAGAAATGATAAATTAGACAGTACATCTACGGACATATAGAAAAACAATGTTCTTGTAGGTAGTATTTCACAAAAACTATCTATATGTGGTTGACATAATTGATGGTAAAAAATAAGTTCATCATTAGCGCTCTACAATGTTCTGCGACTTGAGGCTTCATTACATAGTTGTTTAAGGTGAAAAGTTATTCTATTAGGCCATCAAAATAACCTTGGGTGATTGTAAATTCACAAAATTTTGACCACTGTCAAAATATTTTTCAGAGAAATCATTTCAGGATATTGTATCAAACAAATCCTAACTGTTCATTCTAAGCAATAAGTGATAAAATGAATAGTTGCAATTTGTCTACTTGTGGCAAGATTGTAGTGGGTATGCTCAAGTCAAAATCTTGCCTCAATACCTTTTTATCATCTTTGTGTTTTAAGAATTTACCGGAGAAAAAAGTGTACTTTAAAAAGCTTCTGCTATTTGTTGGACTCCACTAAAAGCTTTTTGGACTTGTTGACTGTGAATTCCCTTTCTCTTTTTTCTCTCTTGTTAATCCTAAACCCTTCCTTCATTTCAAACAATTTGAATGGATTGAGAGATTCTTTTTGAGAGATCAGTAAAACATCACTTACTTGAAATTTTGATCTCATCTTTTAAATTATTTATTGTCAAAAAATTTTAATTTTAATTTTATTATTATTACTTTTTATGTAGGAAAAAGTGAGTGATTGGATGGTAACATTGAGCAGAGTATTGAGAATGCTTGGATTATGATGACGAAAGAGATGAATGGAATATTACACTCTTGGAGAACTTTAATGAGGTCCAAGGCCCCTAGGATACTAACTCAAACCAATGCAAATAGATGGATGAAGATTTTTGAAGGTTATAACTTGTTATATGGTTCAAAGATTTTAGACACATGATCTTAAAGATGAATGAAAAAATGAATTACAAAAGCTTCCTTTTTGATACCAAGAATAGACCAAACGGAGCTTAGGCGCTTATAATGATAAACAACTCGATAATGTCAGTATGTTGTGAATAATCTATTTGGTGCTTCTCTAAATTTCTCAGGAGCCCTCTTCCTATTTTCTCATCGATCATATTACAGTGGACGTCTATTTAAAATAAAATAGAAATGAGGCATTATTATTTTTAATTATGTTGTGTTCCTTTTTTTCTTTAATAATCCTGTTATTTGAGATAAATTAAGATGAGTGTTTCCATAAGAAGCAGAATGGACCAATATAATTTCCATGTGATGTAGATGTGTGTTATACATATGCATATAAGCATAATGGCAAATTGATTTTACCAAATGTGTTATAGCATGTTTTCTCTTGAATTTATTTGAACCAAAAAAAAAAAAAAAAATAGCAATGAAATATAAAGAAAATGGTAAAGAACTTGCATGATACTTAGCTTAAATAGAATTGAATTGATTTATTTATTACCTGAAGCTTCTTTCCCATTTTTACCTTCCAATTGAATGCAGTTATCAGAGGATGATCTTGCTGATCCTGACCCAGATCCTGACCCAGCTCCATTGTTTGTATCATCCTCTAAGCCAGTTGAATGTATTGCAATCTTTGCTCCATATATTGGCTTTCTGCGATCATGGACTTCAATGGGGAGAGGTAATTTACCTTGTTGACAGATTTGAGTACCTTTATTAGCATGCTTCGGGATATAGTTATCTAGAGTCCCCCATATCCTCCATCTTGATCCACATGCATTGCACAAAACTGGTTTGTTAGGTGGTCCATTTCTCCATAGTGGTGTGTCTGTGTTCCAATATGTTAATTTGTTGATCATTCAAAATGTAAAAAATAAACTATTGATTCACATTCACAGACTGCCATGATAAATTGTTATCATTGCGACTAGGGTGTACAACAATTTGCATAAATATTATAATATATGTAAAATACATCAACAACTGAAGTCCCTTTAGAGAAAATAAATGCTATATGAATTTACATGAGAACATTGGCACATGAGAAACTTGCTACCTATGTTCTGCATTAGAAACAACCCAATGCTCATCCTTGATCAATTTTGTTGTTTCTGGGACTTTTGTTCTATACCTATCTGGTATGTAATTTTATATTAACTTGAACTCATCCATCAAGAAAACAATAAACTGAAATAGATTTCAAGTTAAGTATGATAAATTTAAAAGCTCTATTAAGTGATTGAACAAAAGCATATGTGTGTTGACCCTTGTTTACCAATATGAAAATTTACAATTGTATAAAAATGATAGAAATGAGTAATCCAGAGACAAAGCATATATCGACACAAATAACATCAAAATAGAAATGTAACTTCTACCGCATCAACTATTATCTCATTGGAATTTTTTTTTTTCCCTAAGGGTATCATAATCCATGCATCAAAGAAACTATGGAGTTAACTGTTTGTCTAAGTATGTGTCAGAAATATAAAAATTATGAACTCGTATGCAATGTAATAGGGGTATATATGTTTTTGCGTATACATCTATATCATGTTGCGCTTTCTGTTATCTTACACTTATTTTGGAAAAATCCTCACATCAAAGAATTAAATTGAGATATTGAAGGAAAATTAGATTGTATTTAGTCCATTGATTGTGTATCTTCAAGCCATGATAATGGATCAGGCACAATTCCTGCAGTTTCTCTTGTTTGAGCTGTTATTTTTTTAGTAAGTGATAAGATTTCATTAAAAGAGGCATTGCTGTGTTTGGATTATGAATTTAGGTGGGGATAAAAGAATGAAAAGAATTATTTTCCCATGAATGAGGTAGAGGCCATGCATTTATAATAGATTCATGATATGATACAATTTAGGAAACGATATAAATAAGGAAACAATACTAAATCAATGATTGACACAATCACAAATTATACACATAATACTAAAATTAAAAAGATTATATGTACTCTAATTTCTATATTCAACAATCCTCCTCAAGCTAGTGTGAAAATATTCAACAATAGCAGCTTGCCAATGTATGACTGGAAGAAGTTGGAAAAAACTCAATGGTTAGTCCAAATAAATGTTATCGAACAAATCTGATAGTCCACTGCCAAAAAAATGCTTAATACATTAGCACCACACCCTAGAAAGGGGAAAAAACAGGAACTGAACTGCCCTAGAAGAGTTGTTGAAACATCTATGGCCAGGAAACACCCTGGTTGGCAGCTAACAAGACCCTAGTTGGCATCAGAGGCCGGAGCTAATACTGGGAGATAGTTTATGGTCATGTCGGATTGTTGTAAAAACTGGTCAGAACTAATGTTGGGATAGTTTACGGGATCATGCCGGATTGTTGTAGGAATTAACCGGGATCAATGTCGGGACAATTCAAGGGGTCATGTCGGACCATTGTAGAGATTAACTGGAATTAATGTCGAGACAGTTTAAAGGGGTCATGTCGGACCGACGTAGAGAACTAGATGTTGTACCAGCAAGCATGACACATATATAACTTATGACGTGGTGCTGAACGATGATGGCAACAGATGATTGAGTGCGCCAAGGGACGGCTTATTAGAAAGTGCGCCAGGGGACGGCTTTGGTGGTGCGTTAGAGGGGGTGGCTTAGGTGATGCGCTAAGGGGGCGACTTGGGTTGTGCGCCAGAGGGGGCTACTTAGGTAGTTCACATGGTATATCACTATGCTCACCATGATATAGGTATAATACGCCCTTCAAACTCAATTAGGTTTGAAGATAAAAACCTGTTTGAGGTTGAAATAGAGGGAAAGACAAAGTGGAATAGAAACACAAAAAAAATGGATTGCGAGTAAAAAAAAATATGATAGAGGTATTTGGGATATGAATAAACTAGTGGATAGAGGAAGAAATCAACACGAAGTGATACTGAAAGAAAATATGATAGTGGAATGGGTTGAGGTTCGGTAGACGGCCCAGGCAAGGCTGACACCCACCGGTGAAGCAAAATTACTAGGTACTTAACCTAGCTTTGATACTAAAAAGATTGAAAAGAATTATTTGGCTTTCCCATGAATGATGCAAAGACCATGCATTTATAATAGATTCATGATACAATTTAGGAAACGATATAAATAAGAAAACAATACTAAATTAGTGATTGACACAATCACAGATTATATACATAATACTAAAAATAAAAAAATTCTATGTACTCTAATTTCTATATTCAACAGGGATTTGGAAAAGGAGAAGGAAAATGTGAGACAAATGTGAATGAAATATAAGCTTAATTTTTTTTTCATTTCCCTTTCCCTTTCCAAATTCCTATTATCCAAACATAGCGTAAAGGGAATGCCACACAAATACAGAAGATAAACAAAAAAGGAGCCACAAGACTCCTACACACCTGAACCATGCCAGCTTTTGTTTTGAAATGTTAGAAGATGATTTTTTAATTAGCATTTATTTATTTATATCATATTTACATAGAAAGAAGATGAAAACTTATAGTGGCCAAACTATATTTGGCATATAGGCTTTCATCTTGTAGCAAAACAGTAAATTGTAGGACTGGAGTTAATGCTCAGTTCAGTTAAATATTCAACATTCTAAAATTGTCAAATAAAGATTTAAATCAAGAATTAGTAAAACATTAAGCTAAAGATAGATACAATTCCCATAGGGGACTCCTACACACCTCGAATCAAAAAGCCACAAGTCATTTTTATTTGAACCATGCCAGCTTTTGTTTTGAAATGTTAGAAAATGATTTTTTAATTAGCATTTATTTATTTATATCATGTTTACATAGAAAGAAGATGAAAACTTATAGTGGCCAAACTATATTTGGCATATAGGCTTTCATCTTGTAGCAAAACAGTAAATTGTAGGACTGGAGTTAATGCTCAGTTCAGTTAAATATTCAACATTCTAAAATTGTCAAATAAAGATTTAAATCAAGAATTAGTAAAGCATTAAGCTAAAGATAGATACAATTCCCATAGGGGAGGAATCGGGAAAAGACATCTATAAATTTGGCTGTGCTTTTGTATTGAGAACCCATGAGGTAACAAGTCCATTAATCTAAACAATTGATGCTAATTGTTAAAAGATAGATGCATGTAGGGTTGTATTAGACAACAAAATCTACATGTTAAATGAACTTATTGATGAAGAAAGCAAAAATATTAGAGAACTCAAACAAATTTAGATCATTAATAGATGATCTCCTTTACCTAGGTGTTCATTTATTATCACAGTTATATACTAATAAAATCTTTGATAAAAGCACAGCACCAAATTATCACCATGAGATATTTTTCTCACTAACTTAGGGTTGAAGTTTCTATTCAAATGTCTTTTTAGATGTGAGTACATCCATTCATTTTTAAGTTTTCATTTACCAAAAGAGTGAAATAGAAGGTACCCTATAAAGCTTTGACTCAATTAAGTGTGTTGTTGCAGAAACACCTATAATAACTATATAAAACAGATAATCTGTCCTTTGAATGTCCTATGGCATGCAATATGGGTAGTCCATAGACGTTGAATAGTCCATAATTTTAACAACTTCACAAATACAATCTACAACTTTACAGTTTTATGAATTTGAAGAGATATGAAATTTCTAATGCCTAATTATTAATGAAGGTCTAGGCCTATATATGATGAATTTAAAAAGTTATGCACTAGGGGTGCAAGTCAAGTGGGTTGGGCTGAGTTGGGCTAAAGATTTGTCCAAGCCTAATTCGAGTAGTGTTCAACCACTTGACACTACAAGAAATCAAGGTTTTAAAGACAAAATTTTAGGAACAAAAATAATTTGTCTATAAAAATTATATTTTTAAGGGCAAAATATAAGAATTTAAAAAAAGAAATACTTAATCATATTATTTCATTTTTAAGACAAAGCTATTTGGTTGCAAAAGGGTTAATGACTTTTTGCAGACCTCTTTAGTTGGTTGCCAATAAACCTAACTCATACATTTTTTTATTATATTTTCACTCTTTGCACAATTATAATCGGGATTTCATTTCCTCTCCACACCTCTCTCTCTCTCTCTCTCTCTCTTTCTCTCATCCTATTTCTTGTAATCGAAGAGGAGAGAGAAAACTAGGGTTCGAATTCGATTACCGTTTTGATTTTTCGTCCCCGACAATTTCGATCCCTAATCTGATCTCTCTCGACAGCTATTTCAGTTATTTCAATCACAAGTTTGATCGATTAGTCGTTTATTCATTTGAGCTAAAATTTATACGAAATCGATCATGTTTTTATGTCTTCGATTCATTCATTTTTAGTTCATTTCTTGTAAATTTACAGTTGAGAAATTTAGACGAACAATCGTCGTTTTTTGATGCTTTTTCCGCTTCTCACAGTTTAGATTTCTTTTTGTTTGTTTCGGCATGACATTGATTCGAGAGATTGTGTTTCTTTAGTTTGTTTGCTTGGAACTCGTATTGTTTGGTTTCAATTTATACTTGAATTTGGTTTTTCGAACATTAGGATCTATTATTGTAACATTGATCTGTGGATTTTTTTTTTTCTAATTATTTTAGAGAACAAATTATTTTAGGTCTAAGTGACATGGTTCTATTTTTAGATCAACTTTTACTCAAATTTATCTGGCAATCAACTTTGACATAGTTCAGATTGTAGGAAGAGGTGAAGATTGGGTTCCATCTTTTGATCTTGAGCTATTCCACTTACGCAATTTTATTTATATAAAAAATGAAATATTGATAGGTTTCTATAGTTTGTTTCTCTTAACTTCTATACCACTCTACATGTCAAATGAAACATGAACTGTTCCACTCCATTATAATTTGAATGGATTATGTAAAGTTGTTTTGGGAATTGATTATTTTAATTAGCTTTTTAGCATTTTACGAAAAGACCTACAGAAAAGGAAAGAGAATAGTTGATTTTTTTGTAGTGACTTTTTGGCCATTTAGTATGTTGCAAAATTAAAATATGAAGCCTACTACATAACAAGGGAACTCAAAGAAAATAGCAAACAAAAATTTAACATTAATAGGATAGAAAATTGATGTCATTAAAACTCAAACATACAATAAAATAGAAAGAAGAAACAGTTTTGAACTCACTAATATGAATTTTAAGCAGGTATGCTATTAAGCATTAAATAAGAAACAAGATGAGGCTGACAACCAACTTAACACAAGCAACCACACAGAGCTTGTTTGGGAGTTGGCATTTTTAGTGGTTTTTTAATAATTTTTTTTAGTGGTATTGTTCTATTCTATGAAGCATGGACACGCTAGATTTCATGCCGTGGCAGTGTCTGACACGGGGACACGTACGAGACACGCCGGATGGCGTGTCCCTTTAATTTAATTATTTTTTTTGCAGGGACACGGAGGAGACATGGCGGGGACACGCGTGTCCACCAAATCTGGACACGCGTGTCCAAATCTGGACACAAAGAGCAAAAGAGAAGAGTAAAGGAGAAGAGTAAAACCTGGTCTTCGATCCAGTCGAGTCGCCTGTCGACCTCCATTCAGTCGACCACCGTAAGTCACTCTCTCTCTCTCGCCTGTCGACCTCCATCCATGACCTCGACCTTGACTCGCCTCGCCTCGCCTGTCGACCTGCATCTGTAAGTCTCTCTCTCTCTCGTCCCTGTCTCTCGCCTTCCATCTTGCTCTCTCTCTCTCTCTCTCTCTCGTTCTCGCATCGATCGCGTCGCGTCGATCGCTCTCGCATTGATCGTGTCTCTCGCGTCTCTGATCTGATCTGATGCTCTCGCGTCTCTGATTTGGACTTTTAGAGACAAATTTTGGTTGTCTCAAAATCAAAACTTTTTGCAACCACATATTTTTGTTTCTAAAAGTCTATTTATAGTGACAAATGCAAAATTTTGTCTCTAAAAGTCATTTTTTGACTTTTCCGGACAGACCATTTGGGACAAACTTCGCGACGGAGGAAATTTGTTGGTTAAAGTTTTTTCCAACAAATGTTACACTTTTAGGGACGGAATAAATTTGTCCCTAAAAAGCTGATTTCTTGTAGTGTGACTTGTGGGTCCGCAGTGTTTTGCCTAAGCCCATCCCAAATTCAATAAATTTAGCTTGGGTTAAGCTTGTCTTGCCCACAAAAAATGGGTTGGGCTTTTGAGTTTAATTTTTTATGACCTGCATTACACTATAAGTAATTTTTTAATTTGATTATGAACATGTTTTAACCTATTTATAAACCTTGTACAAAGTTTCATAATCTAGAAAAAAATGCTTAGATGGATATGAGTGGTAAGACTAGAAAAAATAGAATTAGAAATGAATATATTCATAAAATAGTAGGAGTAGCACTTGTTGAAGATAAATTAAGAGAGAACATGTTAAGATGGTTTTGTCTTGTACAACGGAGACTTATAGATGCAATTGGAAGGAAGAGTGATAGGATCAACATAAGTGAAGATGCTAGGGGAAGGGGAAGACTTGAGTTGACATCGGATGCGGTAGTGAAAAAATATATGAATTTATTTACTTTAATCGAGCATATAGCCCTTGATAGAGCTGAATAGAAAAAAATAATTCATGTAGCTGACGTACTTGATTGGGATACTATGCTTAGTTTGGTTTGGTAAGCTTTCATAGTAGTCAAACAAGAAGCAATCACAATTCAGTTAGTCTATTGTGTTGGATTTAATCCAACAGTTTAGGTGAAATCTTATAGACCAATGGTCATAATAGGTTATATTTATTAGTCTTAATTTTCTAAAAGCCACGTCACCATGCCACCTTGTACTTCTATTGACATATCTGTCATGCCACGTCAGCACTCCTGCAGATAGACAAAAATCTAGATGTTTGTGGTTGAAGGAGGGGGATCAGAATACGAAATTTTTTTCATCGGATGGCAAATGCACATCATCGGGCCAATTAGATCAGCAGGATGCGGGTGGGTGGTCTTGAGCTGGGCACGGATGAGGAGATTAGGGAAGGGGTTATAGGCTTTTATCAGTATTTGTTTCGACCCCAAGAAGGGACGTGGCGGCCAGGTTTGGATAGGGTTTAGTTTGATCGGATATCAGAAGAGGATAAGGTGATGTTGGAGCGTATTTTTACGGAGGATGAGGTGTTTGGGGCGCTGCGGGCCATGAGTGGTGACAAAGCCCAAGGTACAGATAGTTCTATGATGGCTTTCTTCCAGCACTGTTGGAGTGTGGTTAAGGGGATGTGATAGCAACTCTGGAAGCTTTTTTTTGTATCTGGGCAATTTGAGAAAAGTTTCAATGCGACGTCTGAGGATGTCTGTGACTTTCGGCCTATTAGTTTGTCGGGGAGTGTGTACAAATTATTGGCTAAGGTGTTGGCAAATAGACTTTGAGGAGTTTTGCAGGATGTTGTGTCTGA